GTTTAGAGAATTAGACGGCCATTGCAAAGGTTGTAAACTGGCCAACCAATGATGAAACAAGGGTTGAACTTACTAAGTAAGATCGATGGAGGGGAAAATCCGCAACTGACCTCCGATTTTGAAAAAACTTCAGTTCATCCCTTATCTTTGATTTGTACGGCTCAAAAAGTTGCTTTGATCTTCCTTCAGTTAGTGGCTGTTAATAAGTGTTGTGTTTGGTTAATTTGTGTCAACTTGTGTTCACATCAGTAAGCACTTTCAGTTACTTCAAAAGGGCTTATCCTTTCTTTTAATATAACGCTGAGCTAACTAAGCATTCTATACATTGCCTTGATTAATTAGCATTGTAAAGTTGAGATTCTTAAGTTTAAATACTTTTTGCTATTAAATTCAAACTTTTATATTGTAAGTTAAGTTTGCTTTAAATTAATCCTCCAATGATCCTTTCCTCAGCCTATGACTTTTACGTTTCACATTGTCATGAGTGCTTATATATTTTGAGTCTGGAATTCAATTATCAATAAAAATTGTCTCTTCTAAGTTGACTTTTATTTAATTCGTTAACTGAAGCTAACTGAGTTCGGCGGTTCCGAAAGTATTCATTCGGGCGATTACCACGTTCTCTGGATTACTTGAAGAACAGAGGAAGCATCATTCCACGTAAAGTGAGTGTTTCAATGAGTTAAGATTATATTACTTTATGTCAGGTTCTACGCGAGTCTACCTCCTATAGGAAGACAAGTAAAAGGTAACAGAATTGGAAATTCGAGCAGGCTCGGACCAATCTAGAAATTGAAGTATTGAATTGGGGATCCGAAGTCAAGGCCCGATGTTCAGAGGTCCGAGAGCCTCGGTCGAAGTTCCTGTTACAGTATGTACATGTTTATGAGAGGGTTCGAACTTAATGCTATACGAACAGAAGCAATTTAGCAATTTTATTGCAACAACTAGGAGATGGTATGTATTGATTTTATTCTAAAATTTAATCTGTAGGTACTTTAGGGTTAAAAAAAAGGATATAACGTTCGCTCCGTTTGCGGTAAAAGAACTTGATTAAAAAATAAAAAATGATTGATTATTTACAAAAATAAAAACCATCTTTCAAATGTATATTCACTAGTCAACTGAGTAGTTCATAAATTCGTAACTACCCCGTCGATTCATCTGAAAAAATCCGAAACTGACTCGAACCGCCATCTAGTGACCATAAGTTTAGCTAATTTCATTTCATTACATTCAATCTAAAGATTTTTACTTTATTATAAAGTAGCTTAAGTTCTTGGCGCATAGGTAGCGCTAAATTTTTGGTATTGTAGTGATGAAAAAGTTGAATACAAACAGATTCAATTAATTTTTACCAAATCAAATGTTAGATTCGGTTGATCTAAACCAAATCAAAATATTCAAGCTCATCACAAGGTTTAAGTGTCAGCGTACGCCATTGCCATTAGCCTCAATAATCAAATCCAAGCGAATAACCAAAATGTCTGTGTTATGTGCCGCGGTTATGATATGGTTCAAGATGACACACGGGTTGATGACGTCAGTTACACGAATCGCTTGAACGCGTTGGTTTTAACCGGGGTTTTGTTGCAAGTTGTTTATTTTAGAAAAGCTCGTATATAATCTCTGATTATTTTTATTATCACTTAATAATCGGTGCTTTTTCGTCTAGTCTAGTTTAAAAAAGAAACCTTTCATAATATTCATGGGAGAAATGTTTTCTTTTTCAGAATTTTTTTTTAATGATGGAACCATGGCTTTGTAGCTATGATAACTTTCAATTCTCTAAAGTTTTCCGCATGTCAAAGAAAATATTTATTGATTCAGCAGATATGATGAAAAAAGATATTAGTAAAACCGAATACAGGAGGACATCATCATGAGTTTATATGGCCATATTTTAATATTCTTGTGGTATATATGGCTACACAGGATAGGTACTTTGTTAAGCATAGGAACTACATTTAATGTGTCCCCAATAACAGTGATGAGTATAACTAAAAAGGTGCTCCACTTTATGGTAAAACTCAAGTCAGCCTGTATCAAGTTGAAGTACAATAACAACATCCAATACCCGGCAAAATTCTAACTTGTCACATTTCAAATAATAACCAGAAATATAAAACAACTCCTCAGTTGGGTAAATACCACAATTTTACGGTGATAACTATGACATATAACAACTGATTCATGACGTCACGGATCTTATAACCAAACTGATAACCACACTCGCTTGAACGCATCGGTAAATACCAACCCAAAATGGTAAATACCATTTTCTTTTGGTTATCCGCTTGAATTTGATTTTAGTATTTGGGAAATTTGCATTACAAAAATAAAAATCGTTTTGCAAATTCGTATCAGGAAAATCTGGCCCGAGTAAAGATAACATGGCCACGCAAGACAATTGTAGAATTGTATTCTATCAGACTCTAAAAGACTATCCGCAGCGAAATTTTTCCCGAAATCGTGGCACAACATGAAAAAAAAATGATAATTGTAAAATTGCTGCTTTGACGTTCTAAAAGGGCCGTCGGTATCCCGGGATAGATATATGCATTTCAATAATTGACCACGTTATTCTTGTCAACTGGATTGCGGTGTTGCCAGCTCATTGGACGACTTGCTACCTCTGCTACTTTGCTGGAATGTTATAAAAAAAGTTTTATACGTACAAGAACAAGGAAAACCTGGTGGTGTCGATGTTAAAACGTCTGATGAGTACCAACGGAGCTATTTCGAACGTGAAAGAGTCAATTATCATTTGCATTATTTTATATTGTGTAACGATTTCTAGGAAAATTCCGCTACCGGATAGTCCGGATAGTCTTGCAGAGCCTAGTAGAAAGTAGAGTATATCACGGGGAGTCAACTCATTCGGCAGAATAAAAAACCATGCGATGTTGCCGAAACAACCTGACGTTGGCATCCAGAAAACATGAGGGCCACAGAACACATAAGACTGAAGAAATGAGAGCTGCACGTTAAACAATGGCAACACCGTTTGTCAGATGGTTGCGCTGCCTACTTGCCTGGAGATCTGGATGAACTATCGAAAAAATGCCAAGAATGGGCCTGGAATAAGGAATGTGCCGGGCAGCCGGGGAATTCGTTTGTTCATAACTTGAAATCTGCCAAAAATGATATTTCCGATATATTCATAAAATATCCCCAATATATCTTTCAGCAGTTTTGCAGAGAAACAGGTTCGGAATAATAAAATCCAACCCTAATTATGAAGCACCAAATTTATTTACGTTTCAAAAAATATTCATATGCTGTTGACAATGGTATAAAAATTGTATTACATGAAAATATAAGTAGATAGATTTATTACAAATGCATGTTGAGTGTTTCAAACCACAAGTGTCTCACTTCATTGTACCGCTTCTTGATAATTCTAAAACAATACAGAAAACACTAATGTAAAATATTCACAATTCTTTGTAAATAAGCTAGTCACTTTTAATTAGTGTGCTCATTTCTATGCTTGTTGGCCCTCCATACTTTATATAACGGTGCCAACTACATACAAGGATTATAAATAGGCAGACATGCAATTTTAAATAATCTCTGCCAAATACATCATGCCGATATGTTAAGTTTACAGCAAACGTTCGCAGCATCCGCCAGTAATTTATGTGCTATGCGTTAAGTGCACCCCGCGTCTTCAACCGCTTTCACACCGGCGATTTTCACGCCGACCAGAGCATCAGGAACGTTTCTGATGGGATAGGAACCAGAATTAGAACAAAATACCGGATCATTTCTTGTACCAGTCCACTCGAATACATATTTTTGATCTTTCTCAACGGATTCGCCTTTCATCGCCCTTTTCTGGCGCATTTTGTCAGGTTTGGTTGATATTCAGTAATTGCATTAATTCATTAGATACACTTTTTGCGTTTATAGGTAACCACAGGACAGTACTCAGGTACATTTTGTTTTGATTCAGAACCATAGTTGACAAACTTAAAAGGGAAAAGAATTTACGCAATATGGAAATAAATAAGATTTCCGAGTACCTTGACACTGCTAAAATGGCTCAAACCTTCATTTCCATTCGCAGTTCATACAAAGATATAAAACTATAGAGTCTTCATATGAAAGTTTCTATAAACGCCATAACACTATAATTGGTATGTTAGATCCTGACCAAGATGAGGAATTTCTAGTTGAGGATAACATTCGCATTGTGGTTGATAACAAATATTATTCCATTAAATCCATTTATTATGATTTGTTTGAGGTTAAAGAGTTGAGGTCTGACACTCGGCCTGAAATATCCGATGTTCCACCCAGACTGAAACTACCTAAACTAAAACTGATGAGGTTTAAAGCGGATATTAAATCCTCCATGTCATTTATTGATGTTTTTGATGCCTTAATTCATAGCAAATAAACTCTATCCAATATAGAAAAATTGTCGCATTTGATATCATCTGTTGATGGGTCTGCTAAAGGTATGTTACAGTGCTATCCTTTAACTTCGTCCAATTATTTAGTAGCTTATATACTAATAAACGGCTTTTAGCAACTTCACGCGACGCATGAATTCTGAAAATCCCGCTCAACTCAAGAAACTACTAGAAACATATTCTGAAAATATTGCCGCATTGAAAAATCTTGGTTCTCCCGTAGCTGAATGGGACTTCATTTTGACCAATGTGCTTCTTACGATTTGAACTGTTTGAGTAATTGTCATTCTAACAGTATGCGTGGGTCAGTTCATACATGTCGCATATGTGACGCCAAGCATCACTCGCTGCTTCATGTTATTCAATACACAAATGCTTCGCAACCCTCTAATAATCCTTAATCGGCTGTAGTTGAAATCGCACAATCTTCAAGTTTGAAAACTCTTATTTCAAATACCCAATGTACGCTGACCACTCGCCCTGAATCCGCAGCTGTATCCCCCAGCCAACTACAAATTATTTCGCTCATTCTACTAAATACTATTGTCTACGCTGAAAGTTAATATTTGGGAAATAATCAAACTATCAAACCGGTAGAGTAGTCATAGATACAGGTAGTGAGTGTTGTTAATTCGCAGAAAAACTAGGTTTACCGATGAAAATGAGCGCTGCTACTATTCATGGACTAGGAGGTATGGAAATGTATAATAATTTAGGACAAATTTCGGTTACTGTTACCCCTCTAAATAAATCGCAGCCTACTTAAAATTTTGATGATATTGTTTCGGATAAAATTGGTGGTAATATGAGGAAGATTTTGCTCTTTAGAAAAACGCATTTCTTTATACGAATTCTATACAAGACATGATAGACAATAATTATATGTCTTTATCTGATAACATTCATTCTTCTTTGCTTAATGACTATTTCATACCGCATCATTACGTGTTTAAACCGGAATCAACTACCACAAAATTAAGAGTTGTTTTCGATTAAGTCAATTTATTTGTAAATCTTATGGAGATTTTCACCAGATGCTCAACTTGAGGAGTATGTTCTGAACACTGTCAGTTTTGGCATTAGTTGCTCGCCTTATTTAGCATTAAAAACTATCCAGCACTGAACAAAACATGAAGAGCACAATCATCCATTGGCTTCTAAGATCTTACTGAATGATATATTGTAATGATGTTTTTGTTTTTCGGTGCCGTGAATTGCGTACTTTCTGACCGCCCCTCGTATTCACGTTTTCTGGAAGATGTCAAATTAGTCATTAAATACAGTTCCGATATTCTAAAATTGGGATAGTGCCCTGTTCTATATGTTATTTTGTATCCTATAAAGAGTCTCGAATACTCCAGCAAACCTGATGTTTTTATGACATACCGCAGTCGTTTTTGTTGCCATGTGTTACACACAGAAATGGACAGAAATTGATATTTTTCGTTTTCCGTCTTAGAAATTATTATCATGAATGAAATGATTTAATCAATTTTTAAGCCTTGCGGTAGCACTAGACGATATTCAGGACGTCAGGAATCCGTTATGAGGCAGGACTAATAGGTTCAGGGATTTGCAGGGGAAAAACAATACGCCAAAGTGGCGTATTGAGGCACAGGCTGAAATGGGCATGTAGTACCCTTATAACGAATGAGAAGTCTTTCTTCCACATTCAGATGCCTTGGAAGACTTGTCATACAAGCCTCTTGGTGTTGTGAGCCGTGTAAGGTCCCTAGCAGTGGGCAAAAAGGCACTAAGGTCCCTTTTGGTTGTAGTACAGGTTTAAAAGCACTTTAGAGTGGTCATCGTGCGGGAATTGCAAGCTGATGCACTGCCGGTCGACGGGGAGACGCTAGAACTGGCTATAGGCCCTGCAGGGTCTGATCTAGCCCTTTGGAATGAGATGCTCTAGGGGTGTGGGCACTCATTTTATAGGTTACGCCATAAGGAATCGAATAAAAATACTTTTGATTCAATCAAATGCACCGCGTTGGCGTCACGACGTCAAGAAGATTCGCAGTGGCGGACGGCATGACGTATCGACCAAGGTCGGTTCTAGAACATTTGCGAACACTATAAAAGCGCGGGCGTATGTACGCCGTGGCTCTTTCTTTTCCGTTGTTCTCTCCTGGCCGAAACCGTACCGTAGTAGCAAAGCACCCGCTTGCACCAAGAGGTAAGGGGGTGAGATACAAGGGTATTCCGTTTAATCGTTTTAAACCAGTAACGTTCCGTTTTAGTGATATAGTTGTTTATCAGATATATCTACAGGGTGTTCCTTAATGATATGCGAATATTTAAAGGTGTAAATCTACATGGAAAATTAAGGTTAGTTTGCTTTATAAACTACGGTCCAAAAATGTTTCCTTACAAAAAGTCGGGGTGTTGAAGTTTTAGGAAAAACATGGACATTAATTAATATTTGCAGAACCGCTTCAGATATTCCACTGATATTAAGTACGTAGTGAAAGTTGATAAAGCTGCATATTTTTCAATGCAAAAATAATTTTTAGCTTCAACAGTGGCGTGCGTAAGGGGTATTGACTTCGATATTTTTTAAGAAAAAAAAAATGGTACGCCACGGTTTTTTGCCAAATAAAAATTATTTTTGAATTCCCCGTTCAATTTAAAACAAATGCTCTCTCTTGAATTGTTTTCCTTCGATGCGCCATTTTTAAGTAAAAAAATAAAAACCGTTGTATTGTCCGAGAAAATTAATTTAATAATTGAAGAATGCAATTTAGCAATAAATATCTAGTTGCTCTGGAATATGTCATTGGTTTTTGACATCTGACAAGTCTCTGTTATTCAAATCTGTTTGCTGTGACGTCTTTTTCATTATTTAGTTTTTACAATCTTGTTAATAATAGTGAATTATTCAAATGCAGAAATGGCGGAAATGCATTACGTATATGGCCTTGCCGACGGTAATGGTGAGCAAGCCAGACGGATTTATCACCAGACATATACCGATCGTGCTTTGCCAGATAGTCGAACCTTTTCTAATATTCATCGTTGTCTTGTTGAAACTGGTTCTATCCGAAAAGGAACATCTGAAGGTAGACCTATAAGTGTGAGAACACCTGAAATTGAGGAAGCAATGCTGCACGAAGAAGAAAAACCTCCTTAAACGAGTACGAGGAAGATCGCTAGACACGTGAATATTTGCCATCAAATTGTTTGGAGAATTTTAGTGGATTTTTTGATTATAAAGATATGCAGCTTTATCAACTTTCACTACGTACTAAATATCAGTGAAATATCTGAAGCGGTTCTGAAAATATTAATTAATTTCCATTTTTTCCTAGAACTTAAACTTTTTGTAGGGAAACATTTTTGGACCATAGTTTCTAAAGCAAACTAACATTAATTTTTCATATAGATTCACGCCCTTAAATATTTGCATATCAGTAAGGAACACCCTGTATACCCCGCTTAGTTTTACCTAAACATTATAACTACATAAATTGTTGGTTTTTCTGATGCCAGCTCACACGCTCATTCAGCCGTAGTTTTTATGAGAATTATTACGCATTCAACTATACAAACGTCTCTGTTAAGCGCGAAATCTAAGGTGAACTCAAGTTTCTATACCGCGATGTGAACTACTAGAAGCAGCTTTGTTGTTTCAACTATTGCGCTTTGTTATTGACACATATAGTAATAAAATTTCATTCAAACATATTTTCCCATTTACAGATTCTACAATCGTTTTATATTGGCTTAATTCCTCACCACACAGATGAAAACCATTTGTAGCCAATAGGATATCAAGCATTCAAGAAATGCTACCTGATGTTCGGTGGTATCATGTGGCTTCGAAAAATAATATCGCAGATTGCGCATCTCGTGGTTTACAGCACTTAGATTTTAAAAACTATGGACAGTAGTGGGCAGGCCCTGCTTTATTGACGCATCCATATGCACATTGATTGGCCCACCGCATGTCCTCCAATAAACATACCACACTGTGTGGACAGTGAGCAAAGAAAAACCGCTCAAACATAGATCCGAACATATTGGATATGCTTTTGATCAAATTTTCAGCGTTATGCATATATTCAAAAATTTATTTATAACGCTAGGCATCCCAAAACAAAATTTTTATCTCCGCTCATCGCTTCATGTCTGAAGAACGAAATGCACGCTTTGCTCAAGCACACTTAAAGCAAATACTTTTCTTCAGATATTTATAGTTTAAAGGCCAATAAGGTCGCTTCTAAACCGCTAAGGAAAGTTGGTGTTTTTCTAGATGATAGTGGAATTCTCAGAGTTGGTGGTAGACTACACAATTCACTCTTAAGTTATGACAAAAGATTTCCTAACACAGATTCTACCAAATTTATCCAATGAACAAGGGACGAAAAGCGAAAATTGTATCTATGTGTTTTAAATGTTTCCCAATCTATTTTTCGGGCTAGTGCAGAAGCGTTAGGCCACGACGAGAAAAGTGGACGTCTATTTATCGTCCAAAACAGTCACTGCCGATTTTTTCCAAAAATACCTTATCCGAGATAATTCAGTTAATTTTCACTTAAAAATTATGATCACATTGCAGGAGGGCAAACCCGAAGACGTCGGCATACCGTTTGATTCGGATCTCATCAAATGCTGTCCCATGTGCAACGTTCCTATCGAAAAAGACGAGGGCTGCGCGCAGATGATGTGCAAAAGGTGCAAGCACGTCTTTTGTTGGTGTTGCCTCGCCAGCCTGGACGTGAGTACATTTGGTTGTAGCTTAGTAGATACTTCCTATCTTCGCATCTGCTGGGAAAAATATTCTGATTAATTTTTTTTTTTTTGAATAATCTCATTCAAAAAGGACCGACACCCTTCAAGGCCGTAAATTGCATCAAAAATCGATATTTTTTTTTTAACCGTTTGCACTCCAGACAAAGTTGTTTTAGAGTTTTTGAGTCATTCTGAACAAGAAAGATTCTCAAGAACATTTATCTAAAGTAGATATGTTATATTTTCAATTTGTTGTTTGTTTGTTTCACAAAATATATTATGTCTTCAAAACCACATAGTTTCATTACCTACTATGAATTCTGGTTTTCCATAAGATATGTTTTCAATTTCCCTTTGAACATTTTCAAACTGACACACATCTTCATATCATTACCTAATTTATTAAATTCGTAGAATTATTGCTACTGCAGTTTTGTAAATGAAAGTCTATACTTCCTCTAGTAGAATAATTGTGGCACTCATTGTTCAATACAATAAAATTTTCTAAGTGATTTGGTAGAAGATGATTTTTCAACTTGAACATGAAAATGAAAACCAAGTAGGCTATGAATTTTTTGATATTTAACCATTGTAGTTCTTTCAGCATAAAATTTATTCCAGTATATTTATTTTTATTTAAGATGATTCTCGTAGCTTTATTTTGTAATATTTGTAATTTTGAAAATACAGTTTCATTTGCAGTGAACAAAATAGTTGAACAATATAACAAATGAGGAAGAATGATAGTTGTACACAATTTTTTAGAATAGGCTATGCGATATTCTATAAAAGTAAATTATTTTCTGGGATATTTTTGAAATAATATATTCATAGTGCCCTTCAAATTTTAATTTACTGTCTACGTATATGCCCAAATATTTAAATGATTCGATTGACACAATTTTTTCATGATTAAATGTAAGATTTATCATATTTTGATCTAAAGATTTTCCTATTAGCATATATTTTGTTTTGTTTGTGTTTAGTTTAAGTTTGTTTACATTTAACCAATTTATTTCATTTTTCATATCATTATTTAACAGCTCTATTGCAGTTTCAATGTCTTTATTTTATATATATATATACAGGGTGTCCCAGAAGTCGATGTCAAGCCGAAACCGGGTGATAGGCAAAGTCATAACAGCTATCAGAAAAATATTTAAAAAAAATGTATGTATGTGTTTTGAAAATTATAGGTCTTTGAAGAAAATATAGAAATTTCACACCCTACGGCAGTCTGTCAACTCCTGTTACTACAAATATTAACTTTTTGTGGATTTTATTTTTACAATGTAATGATGAATAATGCATCATGTCTCAACCTTACTGCCAACTTTTCTCGTTCAGGAAAAATTGCCACTTATTTCCCAACCAAGTATTCCAAAGTAAAACTTTGCTCAACTTTAACTTTCTGTACTGGAAAAAATGTACTACGAGAGTTTGGCAAGTAACCTTAAAAGTTGGCGCATTTAATAACGATTTCAAAATGGTATAACACTTAGAAGATTACACGTTAACTTATGCACAATTTTTATTTGAAAAAAAACTGATGAAAATTTTTCAAAATTTCCTAATTAAATAGCGATTATGAAAACGCACAAGGGCCCTTAAGGATAACTGTTTGCACAACAGTGGGCGTCAAAATGCTGCTGATGATGATTTACCTTTACAGCAAATGCTCAAACTGTTTTCCTGCAGCCGCAATACACGCTCGACGTCTTCTTAAAAAAGATCGGGTTATTAAACGAGCGAATCCACGGTTATTAACAAACTCAGCTGCTTCCAATAGTCTTTGCCGTAGCTCAGCTACATTTTGAATCGGCTTGAAATACACTTTTTCTTTTACAGTTCCCCAGTAAAAAAAATCTAAAGGATTCAAATCTGGTGACCAGGCTGGCCACGGTATTGTACCAGACCGGAAAGTTTTGATCGAGATACTAGGGAGATATTGCAAACATCTGCCTTATTAGTGCAGACCTTATTTTGACATCTACGCATGCGCACATACAATTCTGTATCTATGAGGAATTAATAGGGATAAGGCACGTCCTTATTTAAGCTATAATAGGGGGAGCTTATTTAGGCGTTCTTATGTCACGACGATTCACGATCTAAGCAAATCGGGTGTCGTCGCAAGCCTATTTAACCTATAAATTTGTACTCTCAAAATTCAACGATTGCTGAAGCGTTTTGGTAACTATGAATATGGATAAAAAGAGAATAAGGTTCACGTATGACGACGAAATGATTTTGCTGCGTGAATTTATTGCACAAAACCCTATCCGTTCTCCTGAGAAGTGGGACTCAATCTTACAGAACTTGCGAGAGCTTACGGGAAAAGAATTTATTTTGAGAACAATAAAAAAGCATCTGAACCATCTTCTGGAGCTGTTCCTCAAAAAGGAGGTTAACAGCAAAGTCAAGTAAGTATAAGATAGCACACTGTACCTACATGTATTTTAATAACAAGAGAATGCTTAATGTAAGACTTGGTGAAACAACATTTGTGTTTGACAGGTCTGGCATAGAAGAAGTCTATAATGAAAGAGAACATATGCTCCAAGAAGCCAGCGAGTTAATGAAAGAGACCTGCTCAACTACACCAGCAAAAAAGAAAAAAGTGGAAAACAAAGCGAAAGATATGATTGAAAAGACACGCAATGAAAGAGAGGCTATGGCACTGCTGGCCTTTTCTGATGTGGATGACACTTTAATCGACCATGATTACGGTAAAATAACTATTCTAAACATTTTTTATACATATTACTATATTATCACAGTTTTAGGTGTTTGTGTTACAGTCGACGTTGACACAGAAAATAATAATAAGTCTGTACAAGATGTTGGAACTGCAAAACAGATATCTGTACAAGATGTTGGAACTGCAAAACAGATATCTGTACAAGATGTTGGAACTGCAAAACAGATATCTGTACAAGATGTTGGAACTGCAAAACAGATATCTGTACAAGATGTTGGAACTGCAAAACAGATATCAGGTAAAACAATGATTAGAATTACTGCTTGAATCTTCAGTAATAGAAACACTAAAACAGATCCACAGGTTATGGAGTATGACCAGTAAATAAAACCAGTGCTCGATATAAAATGTGTAGGTACTTATGTTATATACTTTGATAAAAGCCAGTGCAATGACTAACCTGTCAGTGAACTTCTTTTGTTTAGCACTGCGGTTTTATTTACAGGCCAGACTAACCAAATAGTGGATCCAGATGACTACAGCGTATATAGCATTGCCATGGCATCCCATTCAGAGGGCTACTACTAGATTAAGTAGTTTCTAGTATGTTATACATTACCTATAAAACAGAAAGCTCAAAACTACCTCTTACATTTCATGTTCAAGATTAAATACATTTGTTTATTGTTGCTGTTACTTACTTTTCGATCATTACAGCCCCCCGTACCAAAAGGATGAACAAAAGTAAAACATTGAGAAAAAATGGCCTTGATTACCTACGAGAAAAAGCGGAAATATCACGAGAAATAAGATCTGCAGAACTCAAGTTAGAAGAACAAAAAATGGATAATGAAAAAGAAAAAATTGCAAATGACAAAGCAAGACTTGCCTTGGAGTCTAAAAGGCTTGAGGCAGAAATTCAAGAAAAAAAACATAGGATAGAGTTAGAACAAAAGAAATCTGAGCAAGATGTCGCTGAAAGAAAAAACTTGAGTGACCTCATCAAAACACAACAAAAGCTTATTGAAGCATTACTGACAAAACTTGATAATAGATAATTTGCCATTAAAAAAATAATATACTGGCCTTATATTGAAATAATAATGTTGATGCTAAGGATGGTGAGCACAAACCAAGTTTGTTGCCGAAAATATATGAAATTGATTCTGCAACTGGTTCCATGTATGAACATAGTAAAACTGTGTAACTTCAGGATCAAACATATTTCATCCACAACTCCTGAAGAAGTTGATTTCATATATTTTCAGCAACATACTAATTTAGTTTTGAAATCTCTTATTGGGTGCTTGCTGCCCTTATGGTTGTAAAATAAATAAACATACATTCCAAACAAGCTTTATTGGTCTTACAAGTCTATAAAAAATTACAAATTATCATCAAGCGTTACAAGTTAGAAACAACCCAAAATTTAGATGTAAAAGATGGCTAGCGCCATCTAAATTTGCGCTAGAGATAGTTTCTTTGCAAGTTTCGTCAATGACGACGCAGGCAAAGCAGAAACCCCTTACGATTTCTGGTCGCTGACTCAGATGAATTGTACAGAGTACAGATACCCCGGTACCAACCAACAGTAGCCGGCCACCAGAGTCGTAACGCAAGGCGTTCACAGGACAAACTAACAATAGCATTTTCTGCAGAACATGCAATAATATAGTCTGATATACTCGTTTGCTTTCCATTGCAAAGAAACTAGTTCTAGCGAAATTTAGATGGCGCGAGCCATCTTTTACATTTACCGTCTTCCCGCTATTTGATAGACCACATTCGCTTGTTTACTTTCCATTTGTCCGCCTTCACGGCTGGACCTGATACAGACCTATACCATACTGATGAGGGCTAAAGAGCCCGAAACAGCGCTGTCTGCGGTTGGTCTTGGCTGCGGCGATGGAAAGCAAACGAGTATTTCAAACCCAAAATGTCCTCTATTTATCAGTGGCCTATGTAGGTCTCAAGTGAAGGTGGATTTGTATTGAAATACATAGCAGTCTGACTACTATACAGGCATGTATGGCAGTTAGTAAGTAGTACAGCCACCTTGTATAAAGCATCAACGTCTTGAAGTAGCATTTTTTGGTTTTTTGAAAAATCTACAAAGGCAAATTCTGATATGACTTTCTGAAAACCCCATTCTACTGCTATCCTTAGAACTTTCATAGCAGAATTGAAACTCTGCTGATGGGCAGGTAAATCTTCCATTCTGCCATGAAATGGGGTAAATAGCACATCACTCAGCCCATATCCTTGATCACCAAATAAAACAAATCGTCTTGTGTCAAAACATGTCTTTTGCACTAATTCTTCAGAGATACCTGACTCCCTAAATATTCTGGCATCATGCCTTCTTCCCGGATATGCGCCTTTCAAACTAACAATAATTCCATCAGGACAAATTATTGATTGGAATTTTATGCAGTGATACCTTTTGTGTCCTGAATAATACTCTTCTTGATTTTCAGAGGGTC